TAAAGTCAGAGTGAGTTAGGGCTGGTCCTGTATCTCAGTCTCCACCTCTACCTCCGTTCTTCAGTCTCTGAGCTAAAGGGACAATAAAAACCCTTTTTACTCATTATTTCTGCATCATTTATTTATTTTTTTTCATCTCTCTTCTAGAAGTCATTTGTTTTCTTGCTATGTGTAATTATCTGCAGTATTTATTAAGGAGTTATCGTAGGTTTTTGGAACCAATTCTAGGAACTACAGAGTATTCTGATGGAGGACTTGAACCAAAATACCAATATTTGAACATAGAAGTCCTCCTGGAACCAGTTAGACTCTGTGGAGGTTCTGCTGGACTTGTTCCACTCAGGTGGCATTTAGATGTGTCGAATCGGCTGTTTTGATGATTTCCCTCCAGGCTCACCAGTAGACTGAGCCCGTGTTAATAGAAGTGGAGGCCCAAAGCCCCCCTCATGTCGGGTTTACGCCCCCCAGAGGAGATGCACAAACCCTGGTTCCTCCTCATGACTCTGCTTTGTTCTGGGCCATGATTCACTCTAATTAAGTTAAAAAAGCTGATTTACAACAAACAACTGAACGTTGGGCTTAACCTCTTATTCCCTAATGGGGTCGGGGGGGCGGAGCCTATCCCAGTAGCCAATGGGGAGAGGCGGGGTCACCCTGGACGGTCCCCAGTCCATCACAGGGACACACAGAGACACACAAGGACCAACAACCACACACACTCACACTAAGGGCAGTTTGGAGTCCAACAACCTAACATGCTTAGCATTGCTAGCCTATGTCGTAGCTAGCGTTAGCTAACAACTGGACACACAACGAAAAAACTAAACTGGTTTCTGTCACGTGACTGAAGGAAAAAGCAGACTAGTGCTTTATGTCCCTCTCTGCTATTAGAGTTTTTCAAAATGGCGGATCGCCATGGAAACCTCCGTGGACTTACCCGTCCTGTGTACATACAGATAGGAAATTCTTTTTTATGAGAAGTCAGATCATTTCAGAGGTCATTTTACACCAAAACAGGAACATTTTTGTAACAAGAGAGCTTTTATCGATCGGTTAAAATAATGGATGGATGCATGGTTTAACCTCCTGAGAGCCAGAAGCTTTGTTCTGGTTTCTGCTCTGGTCCAGATCTCTGATCAGGAGGAGCTGATCAGTTTAATAACCAGACTTTGTCCTGGTTCAGGTAGTTTTTGTTCATATAGGATAAATATGCTCAATAGCATACATTAGCTTTAAGTAGAAACTACAATCTTGTGTTTTTGTGCACTTCTGGCTTTGATGTGCTCCTTTTTCGTAGATGAAACATTTTACTTTGATTATTTGCCCTTTTTTTGTTTTGATGCCGTTTTTCCTCTCAAATGTTTG